CTGGCTTGAGCATGGTGAAGAAGCGCTTGATCTTCATTGTAGCGACCGGCTGGATGATCCGGGTGAAGCTCATGTGGAGAAGCGCAGCAGAGATAGAGCAAGCCCAGAGAGCGCCCAGCAAGCGAGAGATAGAGCAAACCAAGGCGGCGAGAGAGAGAGAGAGAGAGCTTAAAGGATTGGAATGTGACTTGAGATTTGCTATCATTTTACGTGAACTACCTTCTGCCACAAAAAGGAAGCTGGCTCCTCACGATTGTAGCTGTACCATTGTACATTACCGTGACACACGTGCAAGCTATACTGGCACCCTCCTTCTAGCGAGCGCGGGCGTCTTATAAACGACGTAAGATCTGAAATAACGATCACTTCAAACTTATTTACATTAAATATTAACCATTTTTATTTTTTACAAACCATGAAAATTATCAAACTAAAATTTAAAAATCTAAGTAACATTTGGAAATCAATATGTTTACAGTTTATAATGACAAGATAATCTATTAAGTGATTATAAGCATGCATGAAAATATATCAAAAGTTAAAAGCATCTCTCTTGATTGCAAGGAACAATCTTCTTGAATGCAACCCTCATCATTGTGATTTCATGAAGGGATATTAGCTAGAGTTGAGTACTTTGATGGTATTTCTTGATTAGCTTCTTTGAATAGGACATGATAGTTGTTGTGGTCTCTATGGCTTTTAGCATTACCTTCTATCATTTTATTTCAGCTTTGGCCAAGGACATATGATCTCAATCCTTTCCTTGTAGAAACTATTTCTAATCTTCTTGTGTGCTTTAAAAAATATACATGTTAATCATCACAACCACAATCATACAACTGAAACACCTTCATTGCCGGCATTATCCACAACCTGGCTGGAGTTTCAGTGATAATAAAAATAGAAATAGAAAGTAAAAATATTTATCTATAGAGTATATGAACAATACCTCAAGAGTATAAAACCAATATTAAACAAGAGTTCCAGCTATATTTTGGTTTGGTTAGGTGGTGGTGAATATACCTACAATATATTCAACCATCTAATTGTTATTATTCATTTAGATTAATCTCAAAGTTCCCACAAAATTTGTGATGTGCCTTTTTGCCTTTTTCTTTATAAGGTGACTTTATAAATAAAAAGTGCATGGTTTTAATTATTCAAAGCCCTAATTCAAGTATTATTATTTAAATTCATGCATTAATGATGCATGTGTATACACATGCTTTCTTTTGCACTACACTAGTACACTTTTTTCTAGAAGATTTCTATAGATAAAACTGAAATATATATTTATAATTTGATATTTCTATATATGATTTAAATATATGTAACAATAGTTTGTGATCTCTAGCTTTTCGTATTTACCCACCATTTGGTGGGCATTACTAGTCTGCAACAATAAATTGATAAGGAGGAGAGGCTCTCAACTGTCCAATATAGGAGCAAGGCAACCTCAATCTGCATGGTTTCAGTAAAAATTTTGTAGATGTTTGTTTGGCCAATGAAGAATTGGCAGAACTTTGGTTACCGTTGGCTGGAGCAAGGTGTGTTTAATGCAATTAAAGCACCATAGCCAAATCATGTAGTGGCCATACTCTTAGGAGCTTCATTGGTCGAACCTCTTTGCTTCAGCACATAGTGGAGGCAGGCTGGTGATCTGGAGCTGATGTGATCCCAAAATTAGCATTTTGTACTTTTATTTTCCTTGCAGGTTAGTGAAGAATTCTATATAATGATAAAAAAAAGGACTATGATTGTAGATATCTTCACCATCACGATCAGGACTGGACTTGAGCACATAAAGGTCTTCTTTGCTTCCATTGAAAACATCTTGCTTACAGGTTTAAAAGCAAACAAGAACCAAAAATCACTCAATTTTAGAAAAGGCAAAAGTATTTGCTTAACCCCAGGTTCTTTGTGCTTTCAAACCCTTGCCAATGGATAGGACCTGGGGTGTGGGGAGGCAACAATTGGAAGACTGTGAGGGCTATAAGGCCAGTGTTCAACAGTTTCTCAAGTCCAAGTTTCATTATAATCAGAAGCCTATTGACGTCCCCTGGAGTTGTGTGCATGTTCAGATTCAAAAAGAATTGAGCTTCTTTTCACAAACATCTATGGCCTTCCAAAACATACCACTTTTCCCTCTACATAAAACCTCCAACATGAAATCCCAAACATATCTAACCATCATAACCTTTATTTCATAATTGAAACAGATTTGGCCAATGCTAAAGCTTCATGAATGAATCATAATGCCAAAGTTTGAGCATTTATAATTCAAAGAGGTGTGGATACATTAAGCACTTCTTAACTACCTAACATTGGCTTAGCAAATTATTAGTCCATTGCTATAAAGAGCAATCACCAAATTTTGTGGGCCGAATCTACGCTATTGGATGTGGTGTAATTTGTTAAATATTACTTTTTTAACCTGTCGTGAAGAATGTGGGAAGCAAACTTGTTGTGGTACTAGCTCATCACCACCTTATTCTTGCGTTCACAGTTTAGATTCCACCTTGAGAGAGCACATAAGATATTCTAAGTCTCTAGAATATTCCCTCATCCTAAAAGGCTTGGACATTTTCTAGTGCTATATAGTGTGGCAAACCAGAATTCCAATGTATGGGGATAGATTCCACCTCATGGAAATGAAAACATCATGAACTTAATACTCCATGCCAAAATCTTGGTTATTAGCCAAATGGATATCCTAGGATATTCCCACACATTCTATGGTAGGAACAAAATCAAAAGATTTCATTGTTGCTTCTGAAACCGACACTGTGAAGGCACTAAGGGGCATTGAATTCTCAGAATTGTTGTGCTGCCATAAACTGAAACATATACTGGTGTCCTTAGATAACCTATATAACTCATGACGTTGTTTGACGTCAACTACTTTACCTGTTTTCTGCCTACCAAAAGAATCTAGGTTAGAATAACTAGTAAGGAAAAGAAAAAACTAAAAGCTATGATCAAGTTAAAACTTATGATTATTACTCGATCTCAGCAGTGATTCCATACCATATCTCAGGAGTGCAAAGGAGGTATGGAATCACGACGCCGTGATTGATCTTCTTGGCGCTAGAAGGAAGCCTTTCAAGCCAACAGTAGTGACATGGACGACTTGGTGCTCTGGAAGGTCGCTACTTCTTACCAGCTGATGATCCCTGCGAAGCAATCCCAGCGCGGTGTTCTTGATCCGGAGGCGCTCGCCTAGCGCACTGCCGGCAACAGCGGTCTGCTGCAAATGTGGTGGCATTGGTGATGGGCACTGCCAGGGACAGGCGAAGAGGCCACTCCCAAGTGCACAGGAGGAGGATCCGCGGTCGTGGATTTCGAAGCTCGCGGAGTCTTCGATGCGCAGCGCCTCGTCCTGGAACGCCTCATGCTGGGATTCGCGGAGAATGGATCGCCGGAGGTGGCGATCGAGCTCTTCCACCGCTGCTGCGCGGTGGATTCGAAAGTGGAGGGGTCTCTTGGACGGCGCTCATGGCCGGCTATGGGAAATTTTCCCAATGTATTTCCAGACACAATTGGGGCAAGCTGGATTATAGGCTCTCGATCAAGGAAGAAGAATCGGGCATCCATACAGATGGATTCTCTGGCGAGGGCGATGGGGATCCGGGCTTTGGACCAAACACACGCTTCATCGATCTCTAAGCGCGGTGTTCGATCGCATGGACCTCCACTCCACCGCGATGATGCTCGGCTACGCCGATCGCAGCTTTTCCAGTGCTGGAGGAGCCGCCCACGCTCGCGGCTTGATCGTAGCGGCGATCAAGGCATTTTCCAAAGGTATGAAAGGGTTAAAACCCTTTATTCGGCTAAAGGTATTGGCGAGGCGCTGGGCGAGGCGATGGCGAGGCGCAATGGCGAGGCGCCATGCCAATAGAATCTACATTCTCGCCTTGTTCCACGATCTTGCGATCTCCTGGCATCTTGCGATTCTTCTTCCTGCTCTTCCAGGTAGGGCATTCTCGCAATTCTCCATCGATCGCATTTTTTCCGATGTTTCTCTAGCTCTCCGCGGCATTTCGCTCGCGGGATTTGCCAAAGCCGAGCTCTTCCACAGGTGAGAATAGAGATTGATGCTCTATTAAAGCCGTCGTGTTTCCTCCAGGAGCCCAATTCCGGGCCGACGAGAGGCTGTGCGCCATGGTTAACATCCAGATCAATCAGCCCTGTATGCTGTTTTTCATTCTTCTTTGACTCGACCGTATTGGTGTTTTTTCCTTGTCACAGTGGAGGATGCATCAGTAGAGGAAGACACGGAGCGTGGCATTGTCAAGTATGCTATGAGTTTCTGGTTTTTGCTCTCTAACGTCCGATGATAGCTGTGAGAAGGCCATCCCTTCCGGAGGAGGAACGGTCGAGAACACAAGAAATCCGGCAAACCTCGGCCAGAGCCTGAATGAAAACGGTAGAACAAAACTTGATTCTCTTGCTATACTCATGGAGAATTTCTTTTCTTCTCTTTTGTAGGGGAGACATCAAGAGATCCAGGTGAGTTTTCCTTTTAAGCAATTTGAACTGTTTCGTTCATTCCCTCTTGCTCTTGCAGGGCCTAGCCTCACAGACGTTCTTATGCCGGATCCGTTGCTTGAAAGCTCCCACCAGAGATTGGCTCCCGAGGTAATGTGGTACTTTTGCTGTTCCTTGGTCCCCCGTTTGAAGTATCTTGGCTAGGTGAAGCGGAGCAAGAGCTTCCCTCGGTCGACGCTATCGTGCCTCGGCCGTCAGCATATGGGCGAGGTGCCTAGGATTCGCAGGGACTACGAGAGAGAAGTTGCGGCCTTGAGAGTCATCTACGAGGCTCTTGGAACTGTCTCGGAAGCCACAGCCCGCAAGCTACACAACATTCGTAGCTCTATCAAGAGGAGGTATGTTCATACTCTTGAGTCTCTCAATTCAACAGTCAAGGCTAAGAAAGCTGTGTCTGTATTACAGGTACACTGAGATCTCGCCGTGGCAGTGGCAGCAAATAATTAAGAATCGCCAGCACGGCAGATACGATACAAGCTCCGGCCCGAGCTTCCAATTCTTGCGCGACCAAGGCAAAAGCTTCCAGAGCATCGGTGAGTCAGCATGTCGGCCCGGTGGCAAGGACCTAAACATGGTCATGACTCAAGTATCACGGAGGTACAGTTACCCCATGGAGACTAAGGAGCTCGAGGGTTTTAGGAGACGAGTGGCTGGGAGAAGAGCAGCAGCGCGATCGAGGTTGTGAAGCCTTAGAAGTTCGTGAAGATTTTGGCCCATTACATGCGGCTGTGGAGCAGCACTGATGCTCGTCGTTTGATCTACATCATGCCCCGAGAGAACAATTTTGTTTTGCTGTAAATAGACTGTTCAACTCGATGACTAAACGCATCTTTTCCGGAAGCCTGCCTGAACTTACTGCTTGGATGTGCGTGAGGGCGTGTTTTCCCACATTGCTTAAGGAGTTTTACGTAGTCCGTGTAGCCGAAGTCTTTCCGGCAAGATGACAGTCGAATTGCCTTTGCTGATGGCGAAATCATTGGTACGCCAGCATTCTCAAGTCAACTAATAATTCTGTTATTAAACCATATATCATCTTTCACCCGTTTCTTCCCATCCTCTAGCGCTAGCAGCAGCTTGTGCTGCATCAAGAGAACCCTTACTTTCAAGCCCCTTCAGGAACAAGTCTGTTTGGCCAGGATTGATTCGGTATGGAGTGTATGCATGACAAGGAAAAGCACCACTAGAGACCTCTGCGCGATATTTGGCGAGGCCTTCTTGAATAACATCTCCCACTTTAGCAAATTGTTTACAAAACTTGGGTGCAACCTATCACACGAATGCAATTAAGCCAAAACAAAATATGAGATTTTGTTTTACCTTTGTGTGCTGAGGATGCATCATTCCTAGAAGATCATGATAAACTAGGACCTGGTATTGTATGTTTTCAATATACGGCTTGTAAATAAACCATAAATGGAAATTGTTTACCTGGCCACTGCAAAAGGGTCCGGCTCCAATTCCAATTGTTGGTATTTGCAATGATGAAGTTATTGCAGCACCAACGGCCGAAGGTACACACTCTAGAACAATAGCAAAGCACCCAGCAGCTTCCAAGAGCAATGCTTGCTCCAGCAACTAAGTTCACAAAAACGCTATCACAATATGATTGAAAAGAGATTTCAGTTACCTTCATAGCACCTTCAGAAGTCAGCCCTTGTGGTCGGAAGCCACCAAGAATACCGATTGACTGTGGAGTGAGACCAATGTGTCCTATGACAGCAATTCCAGCATCATGAATTGCCTTCACTGCAGTGATTCGAGATGCATTACCACCCTCTAGCTTAATTGCATCCATTCCGCCTTCCTTGACAAGGCTCACTGCGCTCTCTACAGCCTGATGGATCAAGCCATGAGGCAGAACAAAATTTCATATTAGCATGAATGAAACCAAATTAGAGTGGCAAAACCTGATGGGGTGCCTGTTCGTAGCTCCCGAAAGGAAGATCCCCAACAAGGAAACATTTGCTGGCTCCTCGCTTAACAGCCTTGCAGTGTGACAACATCTCTGTCATGGTTACTGGTAGTGTTGTATTATAGCCATGGACAACCATTCCTGCAGAATCCCCGACCAAACACATATCTATGCCTGCTTGATCTACGTGAACTGCACTAGGATAATCATATGCTGTGACCATAGTGATTGGTTCCTTCCTTGCGAACTTCAATTGCAAATACCTCATAGTCACCTTCTGAGCCATGGCACAAAACCTTAAAACCTAAATGTTTTATATAGCTTACAAATTTATATGGTTGTTGGCAAAAAGGTGGTTGATTAAAGAATATTCTGCTGCAATATAATTCTTTGAATATAATTGGAATATCCTTTTGTAATAAATTAGTATTCGAAAAATAAAATTCAATATTATAACTATATATTAAATCATATAATAATTACAACTATATCTTATGTTATAGCTATAAACTATTTTATCAGATGTTATTATAACTATAACAAATTATATCTCAATCCACACAAAATCCACAAAATCCATATATATAGAAGTACTAGGTTGGTTTCTTCTCTCTCATCTTTTCTCTACTTCTCGATCAAGTGAGCCTTAACTCAAACTTATAAGTGCCCTTAAATTATCTGTAGCTGGCTGATTCTTACTTAGAAGACCTCAGACCACTTCATCTTGAAGATGCTTGTGGAACCAAGCGATTCAGTCGTTTTGAGCTTCGTCAGCGCACTTCATAGCAGATGCTTCCTTCACATTATAGCAAGTGGTCCAGCCATGAGAGGTCTCTCGATAAATCTTGACGAAATATGCTTGTCTCCAAAGGTGCATTGATCAACGACGAGTAAACAGAGGCTATAGTAATCTTCTCTGCTTTCTCAAGGTATTTGATGGGCCTGGACTTCGCTGCTAGAATTGTGATGGGTGGTTTACAAGCTGGAAACGAGCAAGAGAAATCAGAAAAATCACGACTGAAGAATGTGATTTACCTTGGACGTCATCCAAGGTAGTGGAAACAGGGTGACAATCCTGCGTTGCAATCCGAGCTTTCCTTGCCTGTGGAGGCAACAGCAGCAAATTCAGATCCGAGATGATCCCGACGCAAAGTCTTAGTTACCTCCCCAGCCGAACCCGGCGAACCCAATGGAAGTCATGCCCTTCGACTGGAGAACACCAAATCAGCTTTTTGAAATCGTCCAAGCTACAACTCCATTTATTGAGGCGGCTTCCAAATCATAAACGTGAAGTAAAACCGGCTTCACAAGAACAATATCCCGACTTTCGAATTAATCCAGCTGAAGCCAGGGATTATATGGATCGCCACACACCACTGCGACAAATCCTGCTTGTCCCCAAGCTTCCTGTTAGAAGCATCAAATCTCAACTTGTAGGCAAGAAACGAAACGAATGAGAAAAGATTCAGGTCGTCCTCAACAGACCTGGATCTTCGTCCGCCACTGCGCGGTCAGGGACGATTCCATCGAAGGCCGGCGCTGGGACTGGAGTGGGTTGGATCGGGGACGAGCGGCAGCAGGACATACTGTCGACAACCCGGCATCGTGAGGACGATCACTCGAAATGTCACAACCGCAAGAAAGGAATATCCAACGATCCCAAATTTTAGCGAAAACGGTCACACGAATGAAATATCGACGAAGACGAGACCATCGCGAGAGCACCACTCACACAAGAACATCCATGCCCTAGCTAAGGGATCACCGCATTTCCGCTGAAAATCCATAACAAGAAATTTTCCTAGTACTGAGATCACGACGAGAGAAAAACCGAAGAAACAGAGGAACGAAGAAGAGAAAAACTTCTTACAGGAAAACAACTAGGCCTAGGTGGAGCTCCCACGGATCTTGAACTTGAGCAGCAACTGCCCATTGGTCGGCTGGAAGGACTTTTCCATGGTGGAGACATCCAAGTCCAGCGGCAGTTTCTCTTCCAAGCTGAACGGCTTGACCTGGTGACTGATTGTCATAGTCCCATCGCCCACCGACACCATCCAGTCCCCACTTGCTGTCTCCGGAGGGAGATCCACCACAAACAGCTTGTGATTCTTCTCCCCGTAAACCCATCGACTGGAAAGGAGAGCTCGTTGCTCGTATGGCGACATGCGGAGGCTATAAGAGCCAGGCACGGGTAGCACAGGCTCCCAATCTTCGTCCCCAGTAGACGAGCAGTAAGTGGCCGCACAAGCAGCCCGGCTAGCGGACCCAAGCTTGGAGAATGGCGACAGCATGGAGCTCTTGGGCGAGATGCCGGCTGGGTTGGAGAAGATTGCAGTCCCCTGGCTGGAGAAGTCCGGTGCTGGCTTGAGCATGGTGAAGAAGCGCTTGAAGACGACCGGCTGGATGCGCTGGAGCATGGAGATGATTCCAGCCGGCTTGCAGAAGATTGTTCCCTGGCTGGAGAAGTCCGCTGCTGGCTTGAGCATGGTGAAGAAGCGCTTGATCTTCATTGTAGCGACCGGCTGGATGATCCGGGTGAAGCTCATGTGGAGAAGCGCAGCAGAGATAGAGCAAGCCCAGAGAGCGCCCAGCAAGCGAGAGATAGAGCAAACCAAGGCGGCGAGAGAGAGAGAGAGAGAGCTTAAAGGATTGGAATGTGACTTGAGATTTGCTATCATTTTACGTGAACTACCTTCTGCCACAAAAAGGAAGCTGGCTCCTCACGATTGTAGCTGTACCATTGTACATTACCGTGACACACGTGCAAGCTATACTGGCACCCTCCTTCTAGCGAGCGCGGGCGTCTTATAAACGACGTAAGATCTGAAATAACGATCACTTCAAACTTATTTACATTAAATATTAACCATTTTTATTTTTTACAAACCATGAAAATTATCAAACTAAAATTTAAAAATCTAAGTAACATTTGGAAATCAATATGTTTACAGTTTATAATGACAAGATAATCTATTAAGTGATTATAAGCATGCATGAAAATATATCAAAAGTTAAAAGCATCTCTCTTGATTGCAAGGAACAATCTTCTTGAATGCAACCCTCATCATTGTGATTTCATGAAGGGATATTAGCTAGAGTTGAGTACTTTGATGGTATTTCTTGATTAGCTTCTTTGAATAGGACATGATAGTTGTTGTGATCTCTATGGCTTTTAGCATTACCTTCTATCATTTTATTTCAGCTTTGGCCAAGGACATATGATCTCAATCCTTTCCTTGTAGAAACTATTTCTAATCTTCTTGTGTGCTTTAAAAAATATACATGTTAATCATCACAACCACAATCATACAACTGAAACACCTTCATTGCTGGCATTATCCACAACCCGGCTGGAGTTTCAGTGATAATAAAAATAGAAATAGAAAGTAAAAATATTTATCTATAGAGTATATGAACAATACTTCAAGAGTATAAAACCAATACTGGCTATATTAAACAAGAGTTCCAGCTATATTTTGGTTTGGTTAGGTGGTGGTGAATATACCTACAATATATTCAACCATCTAATTGTTATTATTCATTTAGATTAATCTCAAAGTTCCCACAAAATTTGTGATGTGCCTTTTTGCCTTTTTCTTTATAAGGTGACTTTATAAATAAAAAGTGCATGGTTTTAATTATTCAAAGCCCTAATTCAAGTATTATTATTTAAATTCATGCATTAATGATGCATGTGTATACACATGCTTTCTTTTGCACTACACTAGTACACTTTTTTCTAGAAGATTTCTATAGATAAAACTGAAATATATATTTATAATTTGATATTTCTATATATGATTTAAATATATGTAACAATAGTTTGTGATCTCTAGCTTTTCGTATTTACCCACCATTTGGTGGGCATTACTAGTCTGCAACAATAAATTGATAAGGAGGAGAGGCTCTCAACTGTCCAA